AACTGTATTGTGAAATATTAATATTTCATATTATAGCAAAACTCCATAGAATAACCTTTGTCATATTAAGAACATCAGAATTTCAAATGTCATGGTTCTGCATTTTAATGCATCTTAAATAGCTTTTTGGCTTGGCACCATAAATTACAGCTAGTTTAGTCTAAATTACCACGCTATAACATCATACAAAAATATACATTTTGTAATACAGATTCACTTCTGTGAAATACTAATGTTACAGAAAACAACATGTTGTTGTACTATGATATTTTACCACTTCCATTTATAAAGTGAGGAGAACATAGTACAAATGCATACAGACAGAACTAGTTGAAGCTTGAATCTGTATATCGTAATAACAGGATATAGAAGTGTCACATATCCTGGATGAACCAACTAATTCTCTTCCAGCAACAGTTTTCATTTAGAAATGTTTCTGAAAACACATTGGTAAAATCTACTGCAGTGAATTGTATGAACATATATTATGAACAGGAAGTTTTCTCTACTACAGTTTAGTTAAAATTTAATCCAGTTTTAACGGTAACTTTGATTTTAAAATCACCCACGCAACTTGCTCCATACACAACGAAAAAAATGCTAGAGATTAAGAATGAAGTTAGTCTGCGTGTTAATTTCTGCTGGTTCTCATAATAAAGGCAACTGCTTCCACGCTATTGAAAGCGACAGCATCACAAACCAATGCATGTCACAACAGAATAGAGAGAGATGCATCTGATTAATCAGAATTAAATTTTAGTACTGAAGGAAGCATCTAAAAATCAAAGCAAATATTTCTGCCATCCCAGTTGTTCTTTCCTCTTTCTAAGTAGCTATATAATGCAGTAAGGAAAAATAAAGTCTAAATTCCACTGGAAAAAAAACAATGTCTGATATCAACTTCTCACTATGGTACAGGATATGTTATAGAGAGAAGAGGGGAACATTTAAATAACCTCTGACTTATTTTGACATTATGGTTAAGAATGTGAGCTCTATCTTCTGATTACAGGATTTAATTCAAATTTTATGTACTACCTAGTACTACATAATATTAAGTAAATAGTTCAGTATAACAATTCTGCTAAAAAACTCCCACTCACTGTTATCTTGTTTAAATAGCAGCTATTTCTCATTCTGCAGGTAGTTTTCTGTTTTTCTAAGAAAAACTTAAAAGAGGTAATGATTGGTACTTTTTTTAATGTGAACTTTATAGTATGCATCTGCCCAATTTCCGTTCAATATCTCACCAACAAAACTTACAAATAATAGCTTGCAGCACAGAGTTATCTGAATAAGACAAAAATACTATTTGAACCAACAGAGCAATAAACTATTGATCTTGCAGCAAAAGAGAGAAGACATGGGTATAGGAGAAGGTGTGTATAAAGGGGCATTTTTGTTCCGTTACCTAGTTTTTCTTGCCTCGTGATAGTCTGCTTTGAAAAATAGTTATTCTCCTTTCTGAAAGAAATCTACTCAATATTAACTATTGCAGCTGTGCAAACATGTTTAATTTTGTAAATAAAATTCTACAAATCACTACCCCTCACAAATACCTATAGATACATACAGATACCATAGCTTATAATTAACATTTGTATTATACTATTATAATACTGTTACACTGCTCAACTATAGTTGAGTAGCGTGCAAGAACAAACTTTTGCTGGATCACTTAGGGTTAAAATCCTTACACTACAACCAGAAAACCCTATAGCGTTTCATGAGTGTAACTACGCAGCAAAGCATGTAGGTGTTTGAAAAGCAAGTTAGCATGGCACAAAACATTTAGTGCTATGCTAACTCTCTGTGGCAACATATGATGCTTTCAAGGTGAGGCCAAGACAGACTAGGCTTGGGAAGATTGGGGGAGTACATTATGGTCCAGGGGCTACAACTGCAGAATTGTTATCCAGCAGTTCCCCTATTCAAGCCTCTCATGGGGTGCAGGAGACCCTAGCCTAGCAGCTTAGAAGTTTTCTGTGCTAGGCAGTGAAAGAGGGAAGAGGAGTGGAAGATCCTATGAGATGAATTCTGTTTATGAGAATCACAGCTCTCCAGCCTGAGTCCTTTTATCTCTGTCATTGGATGTCCTTCTTCCATGCTTTATCCTGCTTTTCTCTCTGATCATATTCCATCACACCATAGTTAACACACGGAAGTCTATGGTTTGGTTGTCTATGCTTTTTGTTAGCTACGAGTCACCAGATTTACCCTGCATCAGTCACTAAAGTACCAAAGGACACCAGTGGTCACTAGGAATGTCACTGGCATCCCTATCAGTGTTTGAACACAGCTGTGGCTGTGGAATTCGGCTCTGGAAGAGGGAACATGCCTCTTGCTGCTAAGATCTCACAGGCAGGTTATGCTTGGCCTTTAACTATTGCAAATAAGAACGTACACCAGAGGTCAAGCTTAACTGTGACAGATAAAATGAAGAGACAACGGGGATGAATACAGGATCCTGCTGGCATCACATATAACCAGGGCTGTAGGTGAAGGGCTTCAGCAGCTAAAAAACTGTGTGTGGCAAGCTCCCTGCCGTTCCTCTCTTGGGAACTGTATTATCTGGGGAGCAGCTCTGCCTCCTCCCAATGGCTATGCAGCCTCAGATGAGTAAGTCTTTGCTCCTGGCCCTTCCGTGCACTTAGTTGTGACTAGTTTGGCAGGACAGCCCAATTGTAATCTCTATTTCCATTAGTGTTATAGCCCAGGAGAGCATTCTGCTCCTTGCTGAGCACTGTATAGGATATATGTCCACATAATTAGAAGCCAAGTTAAAAAAAAGCACATTATGCCAACCTATATTATTCCAAACTCTCTACTGATTATTTGTTATGGAGCTAAGCTAACAGAGCAGACAGAGTTTTTGTGTAATACTCATTGTTCAAAAAAGAACTGCTGTACCTCATTGAATTTTTCTTCCCATTTGAAATATTTATTTTCGTAGCATTAATTATCATGTTGCTATTATAAATTAAAGCAATTATATTTCTGTAGCACCTCACAGCCATGCACTACTAAGGCTCAACATCAATGGAAAGTGCTCTGTTGGGAAAAATATAATACAAGAAAAATTAGTTAGCGCTTGGGTGGGACACAGTGTTACCGCAGATAGCACTATGACTCAGGAGTTTAGGCACCAGAGAAATAATGCTTCCTACTACCAAAACTTGGAAGAAAATTTTGCTAGAAATAACAATCTCTGGATTAGAATTCATCAGAAGCACTTTTCCAACCTTATTCTCTTTAAAATAGAAATTAGCTGCAATACTTTGCACCTTACTGTAACAAATATAAAATATTTGTATCTTACAACCACTGAAGATGCTCGCTTTCACCAGTCTCTCACCTGAAAGATCTCCATCCAAATCACACCTCTAGCAGCAAGGCATCCAGTGGAACCCGCTGCAGTCCCCACTTCAGAAATGACTCAGAGGGAGTCTGCTGCTAAGTGGAATATCACTATCACTTCCTACAGCATGTATGCGTGTCTTCCAAAATTCCCATTCAAGCTATTGCCTAGCCACTATCTGCTTAGCTCATGAGATACATCAACGTGCAGTCTGGCAAAACTATAAGCATACCAGCAGCAAAACTGATTAATAAATAAATCTCAGTATTTGCTATAGGTTGCCTCCAGTCTAGACACAGAATAATTACAACTGACAGTGTGTTCTATACATAAGTCAGTGGTAAACATACTTCAGTGTCCTAAAAAGTGTTTTAATAAGAAACCTTGTGAGGTAGATTGGAATCTCAATTGCATTCCAGAGGAGAAGTGACTTCTTCAGAGCTACTTCAGGTGTAAGTGAAAGCAGAATGCAGACTGACATATTTTACAGTATATGGACCTTCCTCATGTTACGGAGCTATCCTCTTAGGTAATTCACTATGGTACTAAATCACTTACACATGTAGAGGTGGCAGATTAACAAATCTGTCTTTTGTCTCCTGATAAGGTTTTCATCTATCAGTTTACTTTTACATCTCAGCTCTGGGCCAAAAAAAGAAGAATGCAGCCCCTCGTTTCCAAATTCATCTCTAAAGCTGTCTTCAGTCCATACCACCGCTTGTCACTGACCAACATCACATATCCATCATTCACGCTGTTACTCAGGCCTACGCCAAAGGCTTTATCTTTGATCCTGTTTATCTCCCCACAAAGCCAAACTAACTATATGTGTCCCAGCTCAAATGCTGTTTCTTTCCTCTGCAATACTTTTCTCAAAATTGTCCTCCTCTTTCACTGTCAAAACCTCTTGTTCAGAATCTCATCTGCTATTTTACATGCAGTAACAGGAATTCCATCCTGAATGCAATCCTCTGGCCCAACAATCCATTATCCACTTCCAGTCTATGCAAAATGATTTGAGATCTTAGTTTTTGGTGTCACTCTGAGCCACAGTCCTCAAGGCTCTCTATTCTCACTGCTCTTCCCCCACAACATCTTACTGAACCTTCATTTATCTGTATTAAAAGCCTTTAGCAGAACTGCTCTCCCCTTCACTGCCTTGTTTTATGTTGCCTCCATCTTTCTGTTCCACTAACCATCCACCCTCAAAATCACACCTACATCACCACACTCTGATTGCACCTTAATTTCAATAGCTTATCTTGACAGTCCTTGGCACCTTCAGGAGTTGCTTAACAAAGCTGTTACTCAATCTTTTGCATTCAGATCCCTCCTAGAAAACATTTTCACTGCAATACTTCAAAAAAAAAAAAAACCCAAACACCCTATCTGGTTAATATTAGGCTGTAGAATAAAGGAGAAGAGCATATATGCTTTAATAGCAAACAAAACCAGAAATCGTGTTACCATTTCATTGCCCTATTGGAACCTTAAAGGTTATTTCACCTACATGGTACACGACACCCTCCCCTTCTGTCCTTTTGCAAGCTGGATCTAATAGCGACATTCCCAAAACATTCAGATTTTTCAAATACTCAAAGAAATGGCTAAATGCTAAATATGCCTTAAAATATTTCCTTACCTTATCCAGGGAGAATGTTTTAGTGACAGCGAAGCCCCATCCAGCTTCAAAAGCTCTTCGAATCATTGAAGAACTAGTAGTAGGAGTTGCACTGGCAAGACCAAAAGGATTTGGAAATTTCAGTCCAGCCATTTCTACACTGATGTCTACTAAATCTACAGGGGTATAGAAGTTTTTTTTAAGTGGAAACAGCAGCAACAAATAAAGACTGTAAAAAAAAAAAAAGTAATTTTTGCTAATTCATTTTTATATAATTTACTGTTAAGTCTGATAAGGGACTCATTCGTATATAGTAACACAAAAGTTCAAGTGTTCTGTGTACAAGTTTGCAAAACGGCAAAATATGCAAAATGCTCGTATATCAAACATCTGTCCAAATGGCATTTGTGCTGAAATATTATGCCATGCTGGAAATAACTGAATAATAATCATGAAACAGTTATTTCAGAGTCTGTATCATTAGTCTGGTTCAGTCCAAAGGTTTGTTCGACTATTCTGTACAGCCGGTTCTGTCCCCTACAGCAGCCAGTAGTAACGAGGTAAAAAACAGAGCATGGACAGAGAGACCCTTTCTAGTGTTCTTCCCTGAGTCCAACCCATCAGAAGTGTAGGAACTTGTAGAAAATGAAGGAAATTGCCCATGTGAAAGATCACTCAGCAGCCTAACATCCCTGACTCAGTAGGCTTTGAGGCTTCTGTAATTTTTTCCTCCTTTTTTAAGATTTCATGTAGCCTATACAATGAGATACTTAACCAATATATGCAAAATTATTATTCAATATGAATATTTTAAGGATGACAACAATTAGGCTCTGATTTGGGATCAAAGAAGAACATACACTTTATGACAGAAAACACCAAAGTCTCTTTTGGTTTCTAATTTAAATACAGTGTCTCAGCCTTTTCTCTTGAAAGTCAAGGGGAAATGCTTTCACTGTAGAAGTTGCATCTAACACTGTAAAAATTGTAGAGAAACAATACTTTTGCATGTATGGATACTGAACAACATCCTAACCATGCTGTAGTAGGAAGAATTAAAATCTTTGCTCACTTGGATGTTTGAGTCAGTAAAAGTGCAAAGAAAGGAAGCAGGAATTACTAACACAGAGAAGCCATACAGCCTGTATTCCTGGGAAATCCCACCATAAAATTACAGCACTTCCTTCTAGCTTTAAAAAGATTTCTTCCGCAGCACAAAAAGAAGCACTACTGGATGTGTGGGGAAGATTTTCCGTTGAAAAAAAATCTTAGCCACTTAACAAATTGCCATCTTCTGATTTTTTTTTTTTGAACAATTTACTCCGTTTTATCTTGCAAAACTATGAGTATGGAAGGGATGAGGATTTTTTTATTATTGTTTTTAATACCTTTTGATTATTAGACTGGTCTGGAAGGTGACAGTTCACTTGTTTTTTTTTGTTCAGGACTGCCTGGATTCACATCTCAGATTAAGGCCTCAGGCTCTTTGGTTCCTTGCACAGAGAGAATACATTTGGGGGTCAAATTTTCTGATAATGTGAAAGCAGTGAAATTACACTAGCCTCAATTATGAGAGCCTGAATGTGTCCTAAATGATGGACATTTTGAGAAGAGCTAATTTTAAAAGATTTCTACCACTTAGGACCAAACTCCCTTCAGTATCATGACCTCTTCTAACTAGCAGCAAATGCAGCTAGTTTACAAAAAGCCAGACATTCCCCATTCCCTTCTGTGTAAGTCACTCACTGCTTCCTGCATGTCATGCTCTACAGAACTGCTTTCTTACTCCACAAGAATCTGAGTTCCTAGACAAACAAAAAGCCTTGCATTCTAAATCTCAAAAACTTTGTTGGCTGACAAATAAAAAAAAATTTTTGAAGTACTACATTTAGATTATTTTGGTTTTGATTTAATCCTTTTAAGCTTTTTCAGTCTTTCTTAAAATTATGACTGGAAAATGTTTTTTGCTATGCCAAAATAGAACTTCATGGTTCACAAGATTGAACATAAGGTATTTTTAAAATGTTAGCACCTATTTCCTCCATATTTTGAAGTTGGGAGATCTGCTGAAAGCAACACTAGTTTATGAACTCTCTGATTTTGATTCTGTAAGAGCAAGAGGAAAGAAAGACTTATAGAAAAGCTTCTGGCCAACTCTACTCTATGAGCACATGAGAAAAAAACCTAATTTTCCCTTTTGAAAGCAGTTACTTGTTAGTTTGTTTGCTATCTGGAATTATTTATATATTGTCTTTGAACATATTTCAGTCCGTGGATTGCTCACAAACTGTTCATTGTATCTCTGTAAATACTGATTGCTATAAATGGATAAATAGACAGATATATAGGTAAGAATTTCATATGCAGCTTAAGTTACACTGTACTGTTTGTTTCTTAAAGCTGTTCTGACCTGAAATGAGTCTTAGTTCAAGTGATTCTTAACTAGAGATGAGCTTTCTATGGTAAAATATAAATAAACCCTATGCAAGACAAAAAAAAAAACCCTAGACTGATGAAGGATTTTTGTACTTGGCAATTGAATACATGCAAAAATAAAAATCTACCCATGCAAAAATTCTTTGCTATATGCTACTATCATGCAAACTGGTAGTAAGCCACACTTCCAGACAGGCTGCATCCTCCCGGCCCTTGGAATTCTTGTAGTCACTTTTAAAGGCACACAAGGCAGGTTCTCTGCACCTCGGTCCCAACTACCCGCACAAATAACAGAAACAATTACATCCAGACATAGCGAGGAACGCAGGGTGTGCCCATTCTGAATAATTTGTTAATGACAAGGTGACCAGGATGGAGGTAGCAGAGGAAGAAGTAAAAAGAGAAAATTCAATAGAATAAACCAAGTCTTTAAAAACAAACAGGGGCAGGATGCAGCTGAAGGTTCAACAGCCAGTGGCCTCACTCCCTTGCAGATTTATCTTCCTCCTTCCTATCACTTCTCTTTTTGCTCTATTTATTTTTTGCTGCCTCGTCCTTTCAGCACAATGCTTATAAGGGAAATAAATTTACTAAGCTGGGATGCGTTGTTTTCCATAGAGCAAAACTCTTTCAACAAACTAAAATGTTTTATAGGTTCCTAAAAGCAAAATAATCTTTATAATGAAGGATTTTTCTGACATTGCACAAACAAATAGAAAAGAAAGCCTGCAGGCAAGAGTTTATTTATAATAACTCTTCCCTTGATATTTAAAAGCAGAGAACAATTTCTTCTCTAATTTGATGCCAACCAGCTGAGCTAACAATATTGCAGGTACTTACTGTTCCAGTCACCACCTTTCTTTGGACACTGGAACAGGGTGGGGAGAAACCCTCAGCATGTTGCATGTAGTGGCCCAGTACTATTCTAACTGGGACGCGCCCTACAGGCAAAAGCAGTGCAGCCTCTAGCACAGGGCTGAGAGACAGGAACTGAGCTTTAAAGCTGATGCAATTTGTGACTTTCATTTTCTTTAGATGGAGAAAATACCTGACCACAATATGGTCTAACTCCGTTTTGCTTCCTTTAACAGAGACAGGACTATAAAAGTGAGTAGTTTTATTACTGTTATTTTTCACAGAGGGCCTTCTCTGCAAAACCTATTGTTTGGAACGGCTTTCCTGAGTGCTTTCATCTTACTCCCGCTTTTTCTCTTTTTAAGTCTCATCTTGAAACATATCTTCTTTTCCCTTGCTTGCACTTCTACTAGCCTCTCTCCTATTATTCATTTTTTAACTTCACAATGATATTATTTCAAACAGAATCACATACTCACTGAGGTTGGAAGGGACTTGTGGAAATTATCTAGCCCAACCCCCCTGGCCAAAGCAGGGTCACCTAGAGCAGGTTGCTCAGGGCCAGGTCCATTTGGGTACTGAATACCTCCAAGGAAAGAGACTCCACAACATCTCTGGGCAACCTGTGTCAGTGTTCAAAGTGGAATTCTGTGTATTTCAGCTTGTGCCCATTGCTTCTTGTCCCTTCACTGGACACCTCTGGGAAGCGCCTGCCTCTGTCTTCTTTTCTTCCCTCCCATCAGGTATTTATACAGGTTGACAAGATCTTCCCAAGCCTTCTCTGCTCAGGGCTAACCAACCCCAGCTCTCTCGGCCTCTCCTCCTGTGACAGATGCTCCAATCCCTTAATCACCTTTGTGGCCCTTTGCTGGACTTGCTCCACGATGTCCGTGTCTCTCTTGATGTGGGAATCCCAGTGCAGGTCACAGCACTCCAGAGGTGTCTCACCAGTGACACTGAGGAGAGGGGAAGGATCACCTCCCTCAGTCTAGTGGTGGTGATCTGCCTAGTGCAGCCCAGGATGCCATTGGCCTCCCTTGCTGCAAGGGCACATTGCTGGCTCATGGTCAACTTGTTGTCCACCAGGACACCCAGGTCCTTCTCTGCCAAACTGCTTTCCAGCAGGTCGGACCTAGCATGAACTGGTGCCAGCGGTTTTCCCTCCCCTGGTGCAGGACTTTGCCTTTCCCTGTGTTGAACTTCGTGAGAGTCCTGCCGGACCATTTCTCCAGCTTGTGGAGGTCCCTCTGAAGGGTGGCATAATCTTCTGGTGCATCAGCCACTCCTCCCTGCTTTGTATCATCTGCAAACTTGCTGAAGGTGCACTCTGTCCCATCATTCAGGCCATTAATGAAGACATTAAACAGTACTAGCCCCCACATTGTCCCCTGGGGTACACCATGAGGGACTGGGCTCCAGATGGATTTCATGCCAATGAACATAATCCTCTCAGCCTGGAAGTTCAGCTTGTTTTCACTTCATCTCACTGTCCATTTATGTAGTCCATACTACATCAGTCCATTAATACTTCATCTGTAAGGATATTATAGGAGATAGTGTTGAAAGCCTTGCTAAACAGTATCTACTGCTCTCCTCTCATCCACCAAGCCAATCACCTCATTGTAAAAGATTATCAGGTTTGGTAAGGCATGATTTCCCCTTCATGATTCCACACTGACTGCTCCTAATCATCTGCCTCCTTAGTATTTTTGGAAATACTTCCAGGCAGATTTGCTCCATCACCTTCCCACCAATTGAGGTGAGGCTGACTGACACATAGTTGCCTGGATTCTTTTTCTTGCCCTTCTTGAAGATAGGAGCAACATCTGCTTTCTTCAAGTCCTCAGGAATCCTCTCCAGTCACCAAAGAGATTGAGAGTGATCTCACAATGACACCAGCCAGCTCCCTCAGCACTTGACGGTACAGCTCATCAGGTC